CCAAGTCTAAAAATCCTAACTGCATCCCTGCTGTGAAGTATTCTGGTTCAGAAACCGGTTCCATATACATAAACAATAATAATTACCCTTGGGGTGAGCTTCATAACTTTTCCAGGTCTTTAGCAAGCACATTGGTCGTATGTGAATCAGGAAGGAGGGAACAAAAGTCAACTTAAGAGCCCTTTCAGCTTCTTTACCTGCATGCTGTGGGCGATGCCCTCCCGATCAGACAAGACCTCTGCCAGGTTCTTGGTGCCAAGAACGTTTCTGAGGGTGGTTTGTGCCAGCAGCCGAGTGGAGAAGTCAGCGTTAGTCACGTTGGCCACAGAGGCGATGGGGTCGCTTACTCTGAAGTACACAACACCGTCCACACTCACAGTGACTGAATCCTTAGTGAGAATCTACAGCAAGAATACACATTATAGACATAATATTAAACTGACTTTTACAAGAAATTCCTCTGAGAGTGTGTTGTTGTGTGCCTCTTGCCTCTTGTGGCGGGATGTCAAATGACACAGTTCTCAGATCCACTTTCACAATAGAATCGGTGCATGGCAAAATGAAGAAAATTCCTGCCGATATACAGATCAAGGTGCAGGTATATGAGAGTTTTGCTAAAGCTAAAGAAAAAAGTAGGACAAAAGTAGAATAGACATGATTACTACACCTGGTCCTTTTGCCTTTCGGTCCGTGATCCGGCCCAGCCTGAAGATGACGGCCCGCTCGTACTCCTGAACAATCTGCAGTATTGGCCGCAAACAATCAGTTCATGTTCTTGTTTGCACAGAAACGAAATGGGTGATTTCTGGTGTTCAGCTCACTCACCTTAAAGCAAGCCCAGATTGTTATTGGGAAGGTCAAAAAAACAAAAAGCCCTGAGAGGATGACCAGCACCCAGCCGCAGCATCCCAGAGATCCGACCGGCCCTTCAGCTAGTGAGAGAGAAAACTAAGTCTGTAAAACGTGTTAAGAAACAGAAAATGATTTGACAGATTTCTTGATTGTAAAGAAATGCCTGTTTTTTTGTTTTGTTTTGTGGCACAAGTATGCTGCATTTGTAGTAATTAGATATGAAACAAAGATAAAGATAAGCTGTAAAACAGCTGAAACACTGAGTCCCTTTGAATCTCGACTAAAAACCCACCTGTTTCGAGTTGTATTTGAAACGTAATCAATTGCGAATTTAATGACGGCACTTGACTTAATGTAATGCTTTGATTGTTGATTCTATGTTGCATGACTTTGTATTTTTGTTTTTGTTATGATGTAAAGCACTTTGAAATGCCTTGGTGCTGAAAGTGCTATACTAGTAAAATTTGACTTGATTTGATTTGATTTGATAAGGAGGGTAAGAAATGCAGTTTGAGTCTGAAGGTTAGTCTTCAAACCCTGGATGACTGTGTTGAGGATTCATAGCCTCCATACATGGGGTGCTTCTGCTACATCAAGTGCCACCTTGGAAATGCCTACTTTAACAAAATCTGAATCACTGCACAACTGCCAATATACAAAAGTAATATTAGAAGTTGGACTTTAGCATTAAACATTAAAGCATTACATTTTTGTTTGGACTGCATACCAAAGAAATGTTAATGCTTTATTTGACAACATGTTTACTTGTGACCTAACTGCCACTGACAGTTACAAGGTGTGTCGAAGGTTTATTTTATATTATTATTGAGATCATGACAGAGCACCCCCAAACAAAAACATTTGTGCAAAGAGCAATTATTAAAATGTTGACTTATGCAACATGATCTCTGGAGTAAGGCTTTGTCGAGAAAGGAAAGTAACACACAACTGGTGCTGCTTTCAGCTTGAAGTGATAAGTGCATTTCCAGATGAGAAGCAATGAGGATATTTTCTTTTATGTTTGTTGTTATCAGAGAAAACACAATCACACATTGATGGAAAGTTTTATGCATTGCGGCTCTTGCTGTGTCAGCCCCCACACGGACACATTTAAACCAAAACCACATTATACCAAGTCTCAGGAAATCAGTTGAACAAAGAAAAAGCTTCCTGTTGTTCAAAACTAGAGAAAATTTCCCAGCTGCAAATTAAAAAAAAAAAAAAATCTAAGGGACAGTTATTTCTTTATGGGCTCTCAAGATCTTTCGACGCAAACACAAAAAAGCTACCAGGGTCTAAAATGAAATGTTGACTTGCATCACATGCTGTATTTGTGAATCTTAAGAAACGCAGCAAACCCTCTTCTTTTTTCACATGATCAAAAAAAGAAAGAAAACAGGATCATATTGTAATCAGTTTCAGTTTTATAGATAAGCATTTTGTGTATTTTCAAATACTGTATAGACAATCGCTCTATTGTATTTTGTGGAAAGAAGCACGTATCTAAAAAACCCAAATTTACATACTTGTTAGTCAAAGCTCTGAAAAACAGGGTTTCTTTTTGCTTGGCTTCACACAGTGTAGAAAATGCTAAGAGAAACTTAAGAAGCAAATAATTCTCAGTCACATGGATTCAGTGACTGTTTATCTTAATGACATGTGATTTCTGTCTCTACGCTGATGGAGTTCTGCTTTCCTCTGGGTTAGGTCGCTGCTTTTTATCAACACAGGCGTGTTCTTATCTATTCATGAAGTACGCTGAACTCCTAATGTCATAATTAACAGTGAAAAACATGTCATGTAACATACAGAACACCTGGTCAGGATTACTTAAAATCTTTAATAACCAAATAAAAAAAAAACCTATTTGTAAGTAGTGATAACAGCTACACTACATGACACAGACTGTCAAGTCACGTTTAAGCATGCATATGAAACAAACAAAAATAATATTTGGCTTACATATCAGCGTGTCTTTGCTCACTCCTCTCCTCTTCTGGCTTTCCATCTGATCCTCCATTTCCATGTACTGCTCAGAGTTGAGTGAATTCCCTGGAAAAATATGCTGGAAGGGTTGTAAAAGTGCGTCTAACCAAGAGGAAGTGAGTCAGCCTTTTAAAGCTGCAACACGGCAATATCATGTTCCTTAATGTGGAGGCGTGGCTTTGACTGTGAGCTGATCATCAACAGAGTGGAATCATAAAACTTAAACCAGGTCAAAAGACAATTTTGTTGCAAAATGGGGGAACTGAGAGAGCACAGAAAAATATTTTTTTTGCATAAGTGTTACATACAAATAATCTTTGAGTTATTTATACAGATACAATGACAGATAATTGCATATCCACAATAGGTGTAACAAGTTAATTATATAGGCACAATATTTCCAAGTAGTGTTCACTCTATCGTGGTGTGCATAGAGGTTTAGGTTACACATTTTCAGTAATAAGTACTTTCAACAACTTCCCAGGAGATAATGGAGTCAAAACAAACTGTATGTTTTGAATAAAGTTGATTATGTTCAAATATATTTGAACATTTACAAAAGGTTTTAGAAACCTTTTTCTAAAAATATATTACAAAAAAAATGTGAACTATTCAGAAAAGGTAAATATTAATAGGGAAAAGAAAATATGATGTATTTCAGATCCTCGTCACAAATATAATATAGAAAATTTCAAAGAAACGTAACTGCTGATAGAGAAAGAGGATATGAAATACATAATATTTTTGTTTCCCTATTAACTTTTGCCTTTTCTGAACTGTTCATGTTTTTTTGTTTTTTTTTTAGTTTAAGTTTAGTTTAGTTTACTAAAACCTTTTTTAAATGTACAAATATATATAAGCATAATCAACTCTATCAAAAACAAACATAGTGACAACACATTCATAAAATTCTGGTAAATGTTAACTACAGATACAGCCTGGACTTCTAAGTTCAGTAGTAAATAGTTGTGCCCATGTTCTCTGTATTTCATTAGGTTTTTGTGTCTAAAGTGTACATAAAATCTGTCATTTAAAAAGTTCATAAAAAATGTCAGTTATCAATTAAAAATATTTGTGAAATGACAATAACACAATTTCAGATGAAAATCCTAATTCTGTGAAGCTTTTTAGAAAACTGTACGCATATCTGTGGGAGAAAATGTTTAGTGATTACAATATTTCTTTTGTTTGGAAAAGGTGAGAGTAATCAAACACTCGTGGAAAATAAAGATGAGTGGAAATAGATTAAGGAATCATGTGAGCGGCAAACCTTGTGACTAATCGACACCTGACTGGTCACCTGTATTGAGCAATAGCACTGATGTTGATAAGTATCATAAAGGTTGACAAATTATGAGTATTGCATAGGCAAATAAAAAGTTATATGTGTGGGAATGGATGTGATGGTGGCAACTTTCAGGAACTTAGAATTTTTAAGTTTACTTTTGTTGTTGGTGTGCTATATTATTTATTTTCTAGTTTGATTCAATAATGAGGGTCCATCTGAAAATATGGCACGAGTTTATGGGGTAGGAGTATTTTACTTCCTACTCCTGTGTCTTGCATTCCTTGTTCATGTGTGTGATTTTGTATCATCATGTTCGAAATAAATAAAAAATAAGTAGACAGAAAGACAGACAGATATATAGATGTATATGTATGTCCAACATGTTCTTAATTCAGATAAATAAAATAAATAAATGAAAAAAAAACATATATCATACTTTATATTTCATTTAGGTTGGGTAATTTTATTTAAAGGGTGCCTGGACAGTCAATGCAACACAAACAGAAACAACTACAGAAACTAGATCACTGAGAAAATGTGGAACATATGCAAATACAAACAGGACAAATCTAAATTAAAATGTTCATCATTTAAGACAATCTGTCAACTGTGTATGTGCATGGCAAAGTCAATAAACATAATTTGTTCCTGTTATTTAAAAAAAAAATGGTGTGAACAATTCATAAACACATCAATCAACTTGTGAAGAACATAAACATCAGCTTCTTCTCAATAAACGATCTGATGATCATAAAGTGAAATAATTTAATCAAATCAAAAAGTAAAACTCAGCTGGAAGCCTTGAGATGGTTGTGAATCAAAACAGTTTAACAGTTTAGGTGATATTCATACAGACAGTTGGGTTTGGGACAGTGCTTCAACACACAGACAGATACACCCAATACATGGGCTACAACTGTCACATTATTTAAGGTCACCCACTGCTGAACCAGGGACAATGATGACAGCATCCTGCCAAAGCTAAAGAGCTACTCCTTTCTTCATTTGAAAGTCATTTAATTCAATCCAATCAAATTTTACTGAATTACTGAGATAAATTAGCATTTCATTGGTAATCTACATTATGTGATGTAGCTGTATATCTGGTCAAATACTACTGTTACAGTACAGGAATAGTCAGACAAAGTGTCAAAAATAAAATAAAATAAAAAATAGGTGAATGACGGTAAAATACTCACAGATATATACATCAAAAGTCCAAAACTTGACCAAAGCTGCCAAAAATCAATTTTTAAGATGGAACAGTCCCCCTCTTCACACAACAAAAAATATTTACAAGACTGAATCTGTCAAAGAGTGAAAATGTAGCAAACTTATAAAATAAAAATCATCACACAGGACTCAAATCTCTCTGCTCCAATCAGGCCAACCAGGAGGAGATTTATTCAGCAAAGCTGTGTACGCATTACAAGTTCCATTACAGAAGGTCTGCTGCTTTTTAATGGTCACAAGGCCTTTTATAGGATTTCATAAATATTGGTGTCTATTTGGATGTTTTTTTAAAAATTGGAGTTCTTTTCTTCCACTTGTGCAGATCGCTTGGCTCATTTCATGCTGGATTCCTATGAGTGTGTTCAGGAACTGTCCACAGCTGAGGCATTTCAATACTTAGTTACGGAAAAGTGCTGTTTATAGCACTTTTGCGAAATGTTATTTCATATCTCTTCCTGACTTTTCAGGCCTGGGATATTTTATATCACACAAACACATTCTTTCCAGATCAGAATGACCTTGGACATTACACTGACCAAAACTGCACAAACATCATAATTATTCCACCTAAAAATCCATTTCATAAGCAGCAGGTCAGTGGTAAGTTCACATTGTAATAACAGGTAAACGACAGAATTTATGTGTCCATTCGCTTTCCTGCTGAATCATATAAAACAGTTCATCATGATAATGATAGCTATAGTTTTACATTTGTCATATTTTGCATAATTCTGTAATAAATGTTCATAATAATTATTAAAAACAGGCAAGTCAAAGCTATTGTTTCATCTAGTCACAACCTATGTGTTAAACCTCACAACTTCGTTGCTGATATTTACAACTCCTACCTCCTAGTTATTACAAGTATGCCATACATATCCAGACTAGTGTTTCTTCAATTTAGACGCTCCTTCTGTAACAGTGCTGTTTTGTAGTCCTGAGGGATCAAGGCCAGTGACACATTACCTCCTAGGAGAACAGGGAGGGGCAAAGCATCGGGTTCAGGGTCTAAGTTTGAATGTCTTGAACTGCATGTTTCACTGCCAGCCCAACTGGGGGTGTAGTCCTGGTTGGAGAGAGAAGGGGTTTCCAGGACCAGGATGGTAGTTGGGTTGAGGAGGAAAGTTCTCTAGTGCAGATGTAGGATGACCCTGAAACACAAGAAAGTAGCTGAGTTTTTACAAGAGTCTATTAAAATGATAGTCAAATATTTTTGGACCACAGCATACTGTTTTTACGGAACATGCCTGAAGTAGAGCAGACGGCATCGACGGGTTGTGGAGGCCGCTGAGAGCAGCAGCGGAGGCAGAGGGAGGGAAGCCTGGTACTGCAGGGAAGGAGAGCAAGCCAGGGAATCCACTACCTCCAGGAGCCTGGAGCGCGCCGCTCAAACTGGAATGCATAAATACTTCATGAGTGCTTGATGGGAAAAGCTGGCAATTTCCTCAGAAGTGTTATAGCTGAACTTTTTTTAAACATGTTTTATTTTCTATCACAGAAACACAGTTTCATATAACTATACACAGTCTCCACATGTGTGCAATTTATAAATGTGCAATAATCAATACCTAATGCTTTTATGGCTGTTTAATGGTGTTGCATATATTTCCCTTTTGACACATTAATTCTCCGCTTCAGAGAAACAATCCTCAATCTGCACTGCATCGTGTCACTAAAAGTTTCTGCTGTGTTTAAAGAATTACGAGTTTTCCAGCCACATAGTATAATTTTATAGCACAAACAAGTAGATATAAATATATCAAATATGACTAAAAAGAATTTTGACTTCGCAATTGCCTTGGAATTCGGCTTCTGTCTCTTTAAAAAGTTCCCACTCTTTCTGAAACTCTGCATCCAGAACGCTGCCACAGCCATATTCCTCTATCAAGCATTTACAAATGTTCATTGGAGTTCACTGGACAAAGAGTTCATATAATAAGCACAGCACATTTCCACTTGGTGTTTGCCATTTGCTGCTGCTAATTTGAAGGAGATGAGTGAGGAAGGAGAATGGGAAGAGTGCTTGGTTCCCCCATATTACAAACCCGCACAGATACCAAGGGAGGTTTAAAGATTCCTCAAATATGCATGAAAATGTTGAAGTAAACACTCTAGGTATGTTTCTGATGAGGGAATATCATTATAACATCATGTAAACCTATCTTTTTATCTTTTCCCAATAGTATTAGGTCACAAATTACAATGTAACCATAACATTTTTGTATGATGGGATATTGTGATATTTTTGAACACTAAAAATAGTAGTAAATTTTTTTCCTTTTAGTTTTTTTCAAATTAATTGATGCCTTCTATTCACTCTCTCCTCAGGGAACACCTGCTCTTTCAGCACATGAAATGGCATCAAAAGGTTATGCTTCTGCCACCCAGATTAAAAATAACTGGCAGTCATTATTCTGCCGAGCTGACAAAGAACATAGACAGAGTCTATGCTTGAAATCCTAGAGTAAAGGCACAAGAGGAGTTTGCACAGAATAGGAGAAGCATTAGGTTAATCTTGCACAACAGAGATGGAAAATTGATAGGCAGGATTTACGATACCCATATGTTTTGACTTTATGAGTAAGTGGAAATCAAGGTCACATTTTTCCACTCAATGTAGTTCGACCTACTGTTTACTGTGCTGTGCCATTACTAGAAAAAGAATGGATGATAAAGCAAATATAATAGCCATTCAAAGTCTGGACTCTGGACTTTATGTTTGTTTAAACTAAATGAACTAAATGGCGTATTACCTGGCAAACTGAATAAGATT